GCTGTGGTGGTGAAATCCAGGTGTGAAGCAGAGCCATTGCGATCCCTGCTCCAAATACTGATGTTGAGAAGCTGTAGGGGGTTGTTTTGGGAGGGTTAACAGTGATCAGCTGGAGGGGGCTTTGCTCCAGAGCAAAAGCATTTGCTGTTTTGCTTTCTTGCACATGCAGGGTTTGCACCCTGCAAGCTGTTCTATTCTGTGAGATGGATTGGGCAAGGGGAGCAAAAATCTAGTCTACCAGAGAGATGGTGGAAGCAAGCTTGTCCTGAGTGACAAGAGGTAGAAGCTGGTTTTCCCTAGTGTTTCCTCCCATCTGTACACCTCGCTGTACCTTGCCTAGATAGATCTTGTGGCTACTGTACATGCTTCCGCACTCTGGTGCCTTTTGCTTACCTTCTCATCAATGTCATCTATGGGCTTTTCAGTAAGCCCCATAGCTGATGTGTTAAAGGGAGAGGCATGCTTGGCAATCTGGAAGTGCACATGTCCTTGCCACTGTCCGTTAGTCACGTGTTGCAGGCAGACTCCTGGAATTTAAGATGGGGAGTGTCAGGTGTGGAGAGGCCATAACTGCACCACCCTTCCACAGAAGGTTGGTCACAAAAGCCACCCATGTGCGAGAACAGAAGAGCTGTTGGTGAAGGCTGCTTTCCCAGAGGTGTGCATTCTTTTCAAGTGTCCTGGCACAAAGCTATGGAGCGCACTGATAAAGCTCGACCATGACTGAGTGTTTTGTGGGGATCCACACTAGCAAGAGACAAACAGATAGGGTGGGATTGCAGCTGCAAGTGCTGCTACTTGCGGGTGGCGAAGATTATTTACTGAGTTCCAAGATTTGTACACCCCAGGTTTTGAATTGTTACAGGGAATAGGAATAAAAATACAACAGGTATTACCCTTTGTGTAACTGAGACCACTTGTTCAGAAAAATACTCATTGCACATTTTAACTCCCATCTTATGCTGGCTGACACTTGAACAGCAAGTCTGTCTGCTTGTTTCTGGCAAAAAAAAGCAAGATTTCTGCCCTAAAGAAAACAGAACAGCTTGTGTAAAACAACTTCACACAGAAATTGCTCTTATCACCAAAGTTTCAAGATGTGGAAAACCCAACAAATCAAGATCATTCATCATGCACAGACCAAAAATGTACTGCCACATTTATTAGCTAAGTGTATCAAACAAAAACCAAAAGCAAATCTTCATGCTCCCTAGGGCTTTGGTTATGTATCTCACTGGCATGCAGGGACAGTTTCTTAAAACTTACCCAGCTGGCAACCTTAAAAGTAGATTCTAGTGACCTGGTCTTTCCCAAGTCATCCCTGTGGGTATTTTAAGAAGCCCAGAGGAAGTGTAAATTGTATGGTGTTACTGACACTAACTCACACAGCCTTTTGCCTCCCTGGCAATGCTTTTGTGATTGGGAACCTCAGGCTCTTGTGGGATACCAGCTTATATATTTGGGGAAATGGAGGATCCCATCAGATGAGAACGCCTGCCAGGTGCTTCCCTCTTTTTACCCTTTCATGCACTACATTGTAGGTAGACAAGGTGGTGAAGGCTGCACAGACAGAGCATGCAGGAGGCTGTCAGTATAGAACTTGGTCATTTATTTTCATTACTGAGAAGGGAGAAGTTCCCTATCTTACACTCTTCTGTGGTTCCCCAGGTAATTGTTACTTGGTGGTCTATTGGGGTCACTTCACTTATTTTTAGCTGCATGATCTGAATAGTTCCACAACACAAAATTATACTAAACACTACGAGTCTTCCACACAGTTTGATGTGTTCTTTAGAAGATACGGTCTGAACAAAATGCATGCAATGCTGACAAACTGTAAGCAAAGTGCGCTGTTATGTAACCAAAGTAGGGGCAGAGTGAGTTTATACAAGTGGAGACAGGGGAAAATACCGTCTCAGGTGAAAGGACAGCAGTGAGGAACCCCGAGTAAGGGGATTGTCGGAGGATGGAAAGGGAGTACTAAAACCATGAGGAGTTCTCATGGTTCTCAGCAAGGCTGAATTTCAAGGAAAAGCAGGAAGGGGTCTAAAGGATAATTACCTTCACTTAAAATGCACTGTTTCCCATCCTTGTATCTATTTCTACCTGTCCTTTGGCTTTAAGCTTTGATTAAAAAGGATTTTCCTGTGGCTTGTTTAAAAACCTGTCTAGTGCCAAGGGATCGTGTGGAAGTAGCAAATGGGGGTGCAGGGCTGAAGATGTGCAAGGACCCCACAGGCTGGACAAAGGTGTGCTGCTGGTGTGTGGAGGCGGCTGGGTTGTGCTGTTGTGGTCTGGGCAGGCTAGTTGGGCATGAGACTACTTCCCTCCCTGTTTTCCTGGTGACCTCCTGTCTCCGTTTCTACCCTTCAGGCTACTCTGCTAGCCTGCCCTGCCTGGGGACTTTCCCTTCACAGCCAGGACCGCGGAGTTACTGCTGCCTGAGAGGAGTGTCCTTGCCAGCCTCTTGGCCCAAACATTTGGTCACAAGGCTTCCCAGAATAGAAGAGCTGAGACCTGAGCTGTGTGCAGCCTGGGCCAAGCAGTGATGTGACATGTCCTCACACCCTGCGGAGTGCCACGGGGCAGATGGGCAGCCCCTGCCAGAGCACAGGTCACCGGTGGGGCTGGACCCACAGGCTCAGAGCCTGGCCAGGGAGGCAGCTCATGTCCCACACCGGTTTTTGCGGAGGGTCTGGGTACTGCGTGATGTGTAGCATCACAGGCAGAGGAGACAGTCAGGAGCCCATTTGCACACGGAAAGTGGATGGCCCTGCCCAGGCCTACTGGCAGGCCCTGCTGACTGGGGATCAGGGGACTGTGGCCGAGATCCTCAGTGACCCTCAGAACAACCTGAGTCCCAATGCTGTGTTTGACACCAGTGACCTGGAGGAGTGGAAAAACTACCGGTTCAACCTTCGCCGGCTGAGTATGTGGGGGGTCGGCGGGCACGCAGCGTGGCCCAGCTGAACAAGGGCTCAGAGCCTTTTGCTTATGCTGCAGGGCATTACTATTGCTGGGATTGTGTGTTACGTGTGCTGTTCCAGTTACGGAGGAATGGGGATGGGAGTGAGCGCCACTGGGGTGCGGTTGGGTTCCCCTGTGCTGCTTGTGGGAGAGCGTGCATGTGTCTGGGAGCATGAGGTGCGTCCGGGGTACCGACCCTTCTAGCAGGGGTGGTGCAAGTGCTTGGAAACCACCTGGGTTCCCCTGCAGGGCAAAGGAGATTCCAGCTCCAGGCTGTGTCGTGCTCCTTCTGTGACCAGCCCTGTAGCCTGGTGCTGTGTGCATGTTCTGTCTGTGTGCAGCCTGTGCTGGGCTGCAGGTTCTCTCTGTGGGTTGTGCTGGGCAAGGAATTGTCGCAGCCCTGTGTTATGTCCTCATGATGGTTCAGTTTGAACTTGGCCCTAGGAAACACAGTTGACCACATGCTGCTTCTGCAAGAAAGAGGTGAGAGGGATGTAATATTGAACATGTCACGCAGTCTGCGATGTGGCCCTCCAGCCCAGCCTGGAAGGGCAGCAAGAAGCATGATTTAAGGAGTCTTTTTTTCTGTAACAGCTGCAGGCTGGTTGCCGGCAGACCGTACCAGCTCAGCAATGATTCCAGCTGGGTCAGCATCTTTAAGAGTTGGCAAGTTGCAGCCCCTTGCTCTCTCCTAGGCCCTAGATGTCCATCTCTGCTGAAGCTTGCTTGTCTGTGCTATGCTCAGGGCCTGTCTGAATCTCCCGTCTGCATGGCAGCCTGCTCCAGCACCTCTCTGCTGTACTGTGGTGCTTCATGCATGGTGTGCTTCATGCATGGTGCTCTTCCCAGCCACCCTGCTGCTTTTAGCCCTGCCTGTGCCCCAGGCCCTTCATCTGCTGTACTCCTGTCAACAGAAACTCCGTGCCACATGACTGCGCAGCAGGAGAAAGGCACACTTTCTGGGACCAGCGTCTGCCCCAAGACGCCTGCTCCTTTAAGCCCCTGTTAGCATGGCTGTGCAGTCTAAGAGTCATCCCCAGATCTCTGTCTTTGGCAGGCCAGTCCGAAGGCAGGGAGCTTGCAGAGAAGGGACTGGCAGGAAGAGGCAGTGCCTTGAGGGGAAACTGGGGTCTCTTGAAAGGGGAGGTATATCAGGTACCCTGGGGGAAAGTGCAGGTCTGGGCCCAGTGCTTTTGTGCACTGTGGGCTGGACATGGCTCCCTGACCTCTCTTTGCCTGCAGGACTGTGGTCCCTGAGCTATGAGCAGGAGCTCACCGCACCGCTGCACATCACAGCCAGCCGGGGCTACACAGACTGCCTGCGGCTCCTCCTGCTCAGGGATGCTGCCGTCAACTTTGCACCAGGGGGTAAGACTGCCCTGCATGAGGCTTGTGCAGCAGCCAGTACCGACTGCGTGCGCCTGCTGCTCAGCTTTGGTGCTGACCCTGAGGCCGTCTCTGAGGATGGCTACAAGCCCCTGCATCTCTGCAAGAGCCCCGACTCCATCGAGTGAGTTCCACCCAAGGGGCACGGCAGGCCTCCCTCCCCCTCAAGCCTCATCTTCCATAGAAGGGGTCCCTACTCATCCCTGAAAGTTGGCTGGTGGGTGCAGCAATGGCTGCTGAATGGGGTGGCCTTACTGCCTGTTCCTGGACCAGGATCACCTCTGAAGTCCCACAGATGGCTGCAAGCTCTAGTCCTCAGCTGATGCAGCTGAGCTCGGTGCTGCTGTCTTGCTACCCACCAGCAATGCAGAGCTGATGGTTCACACTGAAGGTCAGGGCATGCGGTGTGCAGACAGGCCTCTGTGGGTGTGTGGGAGCAGGCTCTGGGTGTGACGACACTATTAAAGAACTGTGGAGAGTTAGCTAGAATTAAGATGACAGTGTCTCTGCTAACCAGTAGTCCTGGCTAAAAAACATTGCTCCAGGGCATGAGGAGCAGGGATTTTTGGACTCTTGGGAAAAGTGAAAGCCATGGGGCAGTACAGACATGGGGGTGAGTGGGAGGTAGGATAGGAGCTGGAGAGGAGGGCCTGTCACTGAGTCATCTTGGCCCACATAGGTGTGTCCGGCAGCTGCTGCAGCACGGTGCCAGTGTGAACAGTCGGACAGAGGAGGAAGATGACACAGCACTGCATGTAGCAGCACGGCATGGCCTAACGGAACATGTCCAGCTGCTTCTGCGCTACGGCGCAGAGCTGGAGGCAAAGAACGAGGAGGGGCAGACGCCACTGAATGCTGCCTGTGCTCAGCCCCATCGACCCCAGGACATGGACCGCTACTACCGGGTCTGCCAGCTGCTGGTGGAGAGTGGTGCTAGCGTCAATGCTGCAGACAGGGACCGCCAGCACCCACTTCACCTGGCCTGCAAGAATGCCAATGCTCAAGTAGCAGAATTACTGCTGTCGCGGGGTGCAAATGTCAATATCATGAATTACAGTGGCAACACGGCGCTGCACAATATTCTGCAAGCCACTGCCTACAAGCTAGAGCACCACCCAGAGCTGGTGGTGCGAGCCCTGCTCAACTATGGTGCCATCCGCATCTGGCCTGGCTCCCTCCTCAAGGTGCGGGGCTCTCAGCTGCGCCGGGAGCAGGGTGGGAAGGGAACGCTGTGAATGTCAGGACCCCGGTGGGAGCAAGGATGTTTGTCACAGCAGTGCTTGTTCTGTGCCAGCCTTTTTGCTGTCCTGCCTATCTCTTCCCAGGGCCTGGGGGAGGGGGTTCACATAAGGGATTCCCTGAAGTTTTCTACTGGGTTGTGTTTTCCTGTAGGACTATCCTGCTTCTGTCTGCAAAGCTGTGTGGCTAATACTTACCCAGCTTCCATAATCACCTTGCCCCAGAAAACACTGGCGCCTTTCCTCTCAGGAGATGTGTTTCCTCTTTGGGGCATACACTCCAGCTCATGCTGTCTCTGCAAGACACCAGCAAACAAAGGGTTAATTTCTTGTCTTAATTCCTGAGCAGTGCAATAATTACCCAGCCCGGAGATCAGCAGATTGCTCTCCCCTTTGGGAAAATACAGGAAAATCAACAATTAACACTAATTAATCTCCTATTAACGCCAGATAATGAGGATCACTCGTACAGCCAGAATAGACTCTGACAGCTACTGCTGGCCTAGGCCAGAGGGAGTGGGAGCCAAGAGCCTGCGGGGGTCTGGGGGATCTGCCTCTGTGCGGCTATGCATGGGTGGGGTGTGCTCCAAAGGCCACGCTGGTGGTGTAGGACACAGAGTATCAGTGTCGCTTGAAGATGTGTTGTTAAAACATAGGCCTGGTACACCCCAGAAGTGTGTCACACAAAATACCTGCCTGGGGCTCTGTGTAGCAGGTAACAGGCACAGTACCTCTTATGACACCCATTGCTTCAGCACAGATACAGGATATCTCTGCAGCCCCGTGCCAAACACGAACAGTACATCCCTGAGACGCCAGTGTAGCCCTCAACAGAGGCATGTGTGTCTTAGCCTTGCTGCATGTAAAACAGGTGTCAGGCCTTGCCCCAGAACAGCTCATGCTCTAACTAGGAAAACGTGGAGAAAGGAGCCTGGCATAAAGCAGAGTGGTGGTTGCTTACGAGCTACTTGCAGCAGTGAGGCAATTGAAGGAGATCTGCATCCCACACATATATGTTAGTCCCTGCATCTGAGGAGAGGCTGTGGGGACCCAGTAGTGCTGAACGCAACCATGCTGTGCGTGTTGGCTCAGTCACCCTCTTCGCAGGAGTGATGCTCTGGCATTTCCCACCATCGGTGGGTTTGATCTCCTGGGACAGCATGAGGGAAGGACATTCGTTCCCTAGGTTTACCAAGGCTGGTTTTGAGCATGTGCACCTTTCTAAAGGTGAAGACGGGGCCTGCAGGACCTTGCCCAAAAGCTGTGTTCATCTGCTGTCCCCCTCATGCAGGTGCTGCGGTACTGCCATACCTGCCCGCGTGTTATCGAGGCCCTGATGAACAGCTACGACCACGTGCGCATCTCTGAGGACTGGGTGGAAGCGGTTCCAGCGGAGGTTGTACAGGTGAGGGAATGCATGCTGCCAGCTGGAGAACATGCAGACAGGCTACAGTGGCAGGGTGCCAGAGGAGGCTTGGGGCTGAGGGGGTTTGGCACAGGGCAGGGCTGGATGGAGATTTGCAGGGTCCAGGGATGGTGCTGTTGGGGGATAGGGGAGGGTGCACTATAGTGACTAAGGTAAAGGGATGTCTCGTTCTACCTCTGCTCCCTGGGTGACATCTTCAGCTTTATCTGCCTCTGGTCCTCTCTTCTCTCTCTGTAGAAATACCCACGTTTCTACCAGTCACTTTTCTCTCTGGAGCAAAGACCTCGCTCCTTGCAGCACCTGGCTCGCTGCTCACTCAGGACCTTCCTGGAGGGACGGTTGCTTCTGGTCCTGTCTCAGCTGCACCTGCCAAGTGCCTTGCACCGTTTCCTGCTGCTCAGCTTCGAGGACGTTCTCTACTAAGGGCTGCAGTTCCAGTCTTACCGTGCCTTTCTGTGCAGATGTTCCATCCCTGCCAGTGCAGTCTGTGCCTTCCCAGCTAACCCCTTTCCCTTGCACATTGCCTCCCAGGCCAGACCTGTTGCTGTGTCCCTGTCCCAGCCAGCTTTGTGCTCTGCTTCGTGCACCTATTTTGGAGCATTCTGTTTACCCATACTAATCGGGACAAACTCCAGACTCACTAAGAAGATCAAGATATGGGGAGTAGGGCATTTTGTGGGACAAGGAGCAAATGCACTTAATTGATCACAGTTTTAATCGTAGGATATCAGTTGTGGCAGCCTGTGTGTGCAGGTACTGCTATTGCAGTATAGAGATGGTAAAACTCAAAAAGGTTTAACAATGTGCCTGATGACATCCATGGGCAGAGACGTGAGGTGTTGGCTCAAGGTGATGTACCAAGACTATCTGCAAAACGAGGATGAAGGGAGCAGGGGAGTGAAAGCTTTTAAAATACCTGGCCCACGTTCTTACCACAGGTCAGTAGTGCATTTCCCTTGAACCAGTGCAGGACCCCAGCCTGAAGTCACCACCTTCCTGCTGGGCTGAGCTCGCTTGCCTGTTCAGGGTGATCTGTTATGGGAGCAGGTCCCATAGTCTTATTCCCAAATTTTAATCACCACTTTAGAGTGTCCATTTTTAGCCAGATCATGTCTGTGACTGGAGGAGGAGCAGAAAAAGGAGGGTCTGTCCCTTTTGGTGGCAGCACAGTCTGGGATTGCCATAGCCTGAATGGATATCTTTGGTATGAAGGCAGTCTGCAGAGCAGTGCTTGTGGGGCGGGTTTACCGGTCCTTCTTTCCAGTACTGTCTGTATGCCAGCAATAACCTATGCTCAGTAATGTGTACTCAGCCACTAGGATAATATCACCTTAAGGACAGGGAAGGATTTAATTTAATGGCTTGCTTTATTTTGTAATTGTTTCTTGCAGCTGTTAGCCTCAGGTCTGGCTGATTACTTTTGCTGGTTCTAAAGTCTGCTCTGCATTCAGGTGATGAGGGCAGCTCAGGTTGAAAGAGGTGAACCTACAGTGTTTTGTTTCTGCAAACACAGGCACGCGGTGTCACTGCACACGTGGGCAGGCCCAGGCCCAGCACTGCTGATTCTGCTCCGGACAAAAGTGTCTTGGCATAGACAGGCACCTGTTGTAATGAAAGACCTGTGCTGGGACTGCAGGTGGATTTCCAGGGCTCATTCCAGAGCCACCTGGTTTGCAGGCAGGGGAAGTCGGAGGATTGAGGTCAGGTGGCTGGCTGAGAGGGGCAAGCCATCCCTGGGCACAAGTCTTCATAGGCTAGATTTCATCTGTGTTCCAAATGAAATGAAAAGGGCATGATTTCATTGTGTGCAAGGGTATCGCTGAGTAACCATTTTCAAAGAATGTGAGGCTAGTAGGAAAAGGGAAGTATCTTTTACAGATTGACTGATTTAGTGGGGGGAAGAAAACAAACCAAACCAAAAAAAAACCTCCAGAAAAGATTTTGGGCACTCAAGCCCTTTTTCAGAACTGCAACAATCAGAAATGTTCAAGCTAAGCACAGGCTGAGAACAAATGCTCTGAGTTTAACTCAGTTATGCTAATTAATTAGCAACTGATTTTTAAAAACATTTACAAGAACAGAATTAAAAAGGTTTGATGTTCCAGAGCCCATTTTGGCAACACACAACAAGCTGTGCTACTTTTTCTCAGGCTTTTAAAGGGGAAATTTCTAATGCAGCATTGAATGTACTTGCTGGGAGAGGATTTACTCCTTGGAAATTTAGCTGTCCGGAGCGTGAAGGCTATGGTCTCAACTGAGGACAGCAAGTGTGACATTATTAGCACAAGGGCATGTGGCTCTGATGTGTTTTTACCAACTGCCACAGGCACAGGCAGCTGCTGATTGCTACTGTGTCCCAGGTTCATTGAGAATGTCTCTTGAGTACGTGCTGTTGTTCCTGCTTCAGCATCCACCTGGGTTTTTTGGCAGAGCAGTCAACAAGAGACACCCTCATGACTGGCTGAAGTAATGCAAGTCCACTACCACGTTCTCAGTGCGGCTGTCCAAATGATGTGCTTATGGGAAAAAAAATCATCCAATTTCTAGACAGAAGTTTCCATCCTAGCTGCAGCCACTGGGTTTTACTCTGACCCTCTCTGTGCAGTCAAAGCATTGCCTATTCCTTGTATCCTCTTCCTTTAACAGATCAACTGCATCAATATTTCCCTGTAGGCTTCCCAGCCTCAAGTATCTGCTTGACTCTTACTTATCTTTTCTGTTCCTCAGTAAAGAGCATGACATGCTACAATGGGTGGACTAGTAAACCACAATGGTACTTACAGAAGGGTACAAGGACAAAGCAAGCATAGAAAAGCCCTTCCCTAGGATGTCCATCCCCACCCCTGAGCTCTGTAAATTGCATTTCAGGTACTTCTGAGTCAAAAGGGCATCTCTCTATTTATCAGTTGTAGAGATTTTTTTTTTCCCCATAAATATGACCAGTCACTTTTTGGACCTATGTATGTTTGAGCATTCTGATATCCTTGTAGCAAGGATAACTTAATTGCACATTGTGTTGATAACCTCCTTTTATTTGTCTTTACGCTGTCACCTTCTTGTTTCATTTGATGCCCTTTAACTCTTGTATTCTAAGAATATGTGGGTGACTATAGTCTGTTCCTCTTCATCATATTATTCAAAACTATATAGATCCCTGTCATTTCTCTCCCTACTCAAGCTGTCATTCCCTGCGTGGAAGCTGTCACCCAACCCTTAACCACAAGCACAGGCTTTCCGTGTCCCTTTGCTGATACTAGTGCATCACCTTGAGATGAGGGGAGTGCAACCGTGCACAGCATTCAAAATGTGGTTGCACTATGATTGTGTAAGAGTTATTCTTGGCCATGTGGATGTGAGATGTACACAAATGCTCAGGAACCTTAGATTCATATTTGATGACTAGATTATTTACATAGTCCAGGAGGACGGCGTTGGCAGCAATGCCCTCCCATTCAGCAAGTTTTGTGTTCAGATGGCATATGTCACATCCTCTAAATGTTTTTCAGACTCATTACTCTCCAGGATGCCATCCCTGTTTTAAAATGAGGCCCACATTCTTCTTTCCTATATGTTGCACCTTAGATGCAACAAACCAGGTTTTCATGAACCTGGTGTTTGAAGCAATCCAGATTAGGTTGTCTTGGGCAAGTGCCACCTGTTACTTTTACTATCCCAACAATTAATTTTTATCCACGTCAATAATTTTAACTAGCCATTGTTTTTTATTTTCTCCCTGATTGCTAATAACATATAGCATTGATATGTGCATAGAATACAACTAGAAATACATCTGTCAAATGGCTATATAGAATAAGTCTTCTGAGTTACCCAATTCTTTCAAATCTGTTAATACTTATGATGCTGACTGCAGCATACAGCTAATTTTTCTTATTAGAATGTCAAGCAGAACTAAGTCAAATGACTTACACGAGTCTAAGCATGCCATATCTATCTAGTTAGCTCTATCAAACTTGTAGGCTTACAAAAAAATGCATAACGTTATTTGAAAGTACCTCTTTCAAATGACATTAATTTTAATGACATTAATTTGGGTTCTAGCTTTTACTAATTTACCCAGGACATCCTTTGGCTGCTTGTTTGTGATTGCTTGGGATATATGTTGAACTTACTGCTCTGTAGTTTCTTGGATATCCATGTGAACACATTTAAATACTGGCAAGACATTGGATTTTTTTTTTCACCCAGTTATCTTAAGTTCCCCAGTGTGCCATGATTTGTTATAAAGAAAAACATCAATGATTCAGTGAACTCATTAGCCAATTAAATACTCTTGGATGTAAGTTATCTTCCTGCAGATTATAAAAATTGTTATTTAAACAGTTTCTCTTTAGCATCTTCCTTAATTACTGATGGAATAGAAAGTATTTCATTACCACTGTAAAATATTAATATCATCCATTGTTGTTTCAAATACAGAGCAGAAATATTGTTTTCTTCATTTTCATTATGCAGGACGTATGTTTAACCCACAGAAACCTGGGGCAGGTGCCCAGCGACTGCAGTTCTTTGGATTCTCTGCTGGGGCATCCTGCTCTGGGGTCAACATTTCCAAAAAATTGGGAAACTGGAGAGGGTTCAGAGAAGAGCCATGAGTGAGTTATAGATTGCCAGTGATTCCTGGCAGTGGAATTTCGGAGGGCTGGTGCTTGGACACACCGTGGTTGATTCTTGGAGTCCTGCATGCAGTTGTAGACGCCTGTTCTTCGGTCCCAGATTTACAAGGCAGGAAGGGTTGACAGCACTCTTCCACAAAGCACCATGGGCATGCAGGCTAAACACACACTCCATTGCCATGCTGACATCCATTGCTCAGCCTCAAGGGCACCTAACCAAACTTTCTGAGGGGCAGGCTGCAGAGTTTATTCAACATTGCCAGTTCTTCTGAGTGGCACTTAGAGGTAAGACTAGATTCAATGGCTGGAAACTGAAGCTGAGCAAACACATATTAGAAATGAGACACATTTTTAATAGAAAGGGTAATTAATCTACTAGTTAATTGCATCTTAGAATAGCTTATCATTGTGGATGTGGATTTCTCATCTCTGGCTTTTTTAAAAATCACCAGAAGATCTGCCCTAGCCCAGACCAGAATTCACACTGCATGGCTTAGCCCAAGTCCCAAAGAGATCAGACTGCTTAATTACAGATCTATGATCCATGGTCTTGGCAGTCTTCCACACTGGTCTACCACTGGTCTCTGTCGCTGCTGGGACTGTGTTTGGCCCCAGGGTAATGAAACAGTTTCATGTTTCCCTTAACAGCACTACTCACTTCACTGATACTTCATTGATGTCTCTGACTTCCCCTTGGTTTCCTTCATTTTGTGAGTACTGGTTTGTACTGGTTCTATCAGCTTCCTTGCTCTGAATTTGCTGCCTGCTCTGGTTTCTGAAAAAGACATT